CATGTGACTTTATGTATTTGGAGATAGGATCTTTGGGAAGTAATTAAGGTTAACTGAAGTTATAAGGATGGGGTCAATCAGAGAGAACTGGTGGCTTTATAAGAAGAGGAAGAGAGGAAGGTGAAGGTGAAGATGTTTGCACAGGAATGTGACCTTTGTAACTCCACTTCAGCCTCTGATTGGTTGCAGAAAGCAACTGATTGCTGGCCACTACTTTATTTATATGAGGTGAGCATGAAGTTGCCAATGGGAAGCCTCTAGAGGGTATCTGGACCTGAGAGGCTTCTGTATTGGTCAGCTCCCTCCCACACTGTGTAGTGCACTTTTGTTTTCAATAAATCCCTGCTTTTGTTCTTTCATTGCTTCAATCTTGTTTTGCTTTGCTGGGCGTTTTGTCCAATTCTTTGTTCAAAATGCCAAGAATCTGGACAACTTGCAGTCAAGACCCTCTACCAGTAATACTATAACAAAAACTAGTATCAAAACGTAATTTTAACAAAAATTTTTAAAAGGCTAACAAATCAATAATAATGGACAATAATAAAAGATAAACAACTCAATAGAAAAAAGGCAACAGAGGCCGGGCACGGTGGCTCACGCCTGTAATCCCAGCACTTTGGGAAGCTGAGGCAGGTAGATCATGAGGTCAGGAGTTCGAGACCAGCCTGGCCAACATAGTGAAACCCTGTCTCTACTAAAAATACAAAAAATTAGCCGGGCATGGTGGCAGGCATCTGTAATTCCAGCTACTCAGGAGGCTGAGACAGAATTGCTTGAACCCGGTAGGTGGAGTTTGCAGTGAGCTGAGATCATGCCATTGTACTCCAGCTTGGGCGACAGTGCAAGACTCTGTCTAGAAAAATAAAAAGAAAAGCAACAGGAGAGAAAAATCTGAATGTCCAATAAAGTTGTGAAAAGATGCTCAGCCTCACTGCTACTCGGGAAAATGCAAATTGAATAAATATCATTTTATATACCTAATATTAGTAAGAACTAAGAACAAATTTTGGCAAGGATAAGGGCTATTCTTATCCACTATATGCAACTACTTAGGGATGTAAACTTGCAATTATTTTAATATGCAAAGGTGAAGACATATGTCTTAATTGTTTCACTTTCATTTTTACTCTAAAAAAATATCAAGCAACATTCATGGAATTACACTTGTGCATCAAGGGCAACTGTGCATTGCTACGGATATAAGAGTTTAGCAAAAATAAAAAAAAGTATCTGTGAGATTAATTAGCTATGTGGAATTTACAATAGAAAACATTTTATATTTTAATATTTTTATAGTGAGAGGATCCTTTAAATCCTTTTTAAAAAGTATGTACTCACATACATACATACATGCATATATTATATATACCTATGGACTGAATTGTGTCCCCAAAAATTCGCATGTCAAGGCCCTAATCCTCATGTGACTGTATATATTTGGAGATAGGATCTTTAGGAAGTAATTAAGGATAACTGAAGTTATAAGGATGAGGTCCTAATCCGATAGAACTGGTGACCTTACAAGAAGAGGGAGAGAGGAAGAGAGAGATCGTTCACCCCGTCCTAAACTGAGCACACAGAAAATGGCAGCTGCCTGCAGTTAAAATGAATCTTACCTTGCTGGCACTTTAATCTTAAACCTCCCAGCCTCTAGAGCTATGAGAAAACAAATTTGTTTTGCTTATGCTACCCACTTTGTGGTATTCTGTTATGGCAGCCTGAGTTGACTAAGACAGACACACATAAACACACACACTGGCAAGTAGACATAAAATTCCAAGAAATGTTAGAAAGTGAAAAGTGCTATAAAAATACGGAGTAGGCTGGGCAAGGTGGCTCACACCTGTAATCCCAGCACTTTGGGAGGCCAAGGCAGGTGGATCACAAGGTCAAGAGATCGAGACCATCCTGGCCAACATGGTGAAACCTTGTCTCTACTAAAGATACAAAAATTAGCTGGACGTGGTGGTGTGTGCCTGTAGTCCCAGCTACTCAGGAGGCTGAGGCAGGAGAATCTCTTGCACCTGGGTGGTGGAGATTGCAGTGAGCAAAGATCATGCCACTACACTCCAGCCTGGCAACAGAGCGAGACTCCGTTCCAAAAATGTGTGTGTGTGTGTGTGTGTGTGTGTGTGTATGTGTGTGCGCGCGCGTGTGGAGTAAATGATATGGGAAGAGTGCAGAGGAGGTGGCATTTTAGTTTTGCCAGGAGGATGAGTAATCCAGGCTAGAGATCTGAAGGACGTGAACTTGGGCAGTGGCCTTAGAAAATAAGATTTGTACTGTCTCAGGAGAACCCCATTTGATTTCTAGGCTGCAGCTGACTAGCACCTGGTCTGCCCATGGATACTCAAGGATAAATACACATCTGACAGAGGAGGAGCATTACAGTCTCATGGTTTTCCAACAGGGTACCAGCTTTTCAGCAGGTCTCCAGTCAGCTCCCTCTTCTTAGCCCCTTCATATTTGATTTTTCAATCTACTGCTCTTCTAATACATTTTTTTCTACACTCTTCTCCAGGTCTCAGCCAATGACATTCCCTTTTCTACCCACCTATACCTAGTTAGTCACCACATCTTAGAAGACACCTACAAGTTATCTTTCCTCTTCTTTTCCCCCACAACACTGCCTCAATCCAGAATCCCATCACTTCTTTCCTACATGTATGTGTTAACTTAAAACTCACGGGAGCTATACATTTAGAAAAGGAGACTTTATTTCTTATAAGGAGATACAGCCTGCAAGGTGGCCATCTCACAGGCTGGGAACCTCCAGCAAGGACCAGAGACAGGCACTTCAAAGGAAGTGGGGTTGAGGTAGGAGCTTTATACTGAATAGGTTAGCTAAACATGCATATTCAACAGATTACAGGAGGAGCTATAAATATTCATGAAGGTAGTCCTGACACATGTGTATTGAGCAACATGCATGTTACATACAACCTCTGTTCACCTTGAGGAAGAGACTTAACATTTAATGTATTCCACTTAGGCCCTATACATCAAAAGGTGAAGCAGAGATGAAGGCACACAAGTGCATGGGCCTCTGTAAAGTGGCCAGAACCAGTCCATGGTCAGTGGTCTTACCTGGAGAAAGTTACTAAAATCCCTTGTGCAATCAAAGCTGTAACTATGGTTGGCATACCAGGGGTTCTGTTAGTGTCTGTGAACTGGATCAGTTGTAATTGTTTTAATATTGCTTCTCTCTAGGCCAGTGTTTGTTTAGTTGCAAGAGAAAAAGAAGACTCTTGTGGTAGAACATAGTTTATTTTTTAAGTGTAGTGGGTGCATGACTTAATCCTTGCCTGGCATGGCCTTAGGTTTTGTTTATAATTTGGTATCCTATTCTCACAAATAATTTGTTCTGTCAATGTTATGATCTTTATTGTAACATTAACATGTTAAACATAGGCTGACTTCCTAGAACGAAACTGAAAGAAAACCCCTAACTTTCCATGCCTACGTAGTTGCTAGTTAGTTGTGTCTAAACTACAAAAGGGAGGGAATAAAATGAGGCATGTTTGATCTCCTGTCCTATTATGGCTGGGGTCCCCTTGGCCAAGAGAGAGATCTGTCCAGTAAGTAGACAGACCCCTGAATTAGGATTTTATTTTTACTTTATATATAAACAATGGCTTTACAACTAATTCCCTGACTTTAAATTTGCCCCTCTAGTCATCCTCCACCCTGTTGCCAGAGATATCATTCTAAATCTCATGATGTCACACTTCTGATTAAAATTTCACCATGGTTCTCTGGATTTCAGGGTCAAGTTCAGATCTTTTCCTCAGTAATCCCCTGCCTGCCTCTCTAGCCGAAATCTTCCATAACCCCCTGACTGGTACTGTCATTCTGGTCACACTGAACTAGTCCTCTGGCTGTCATGTTACTTCTTGCTTTTTCTGTTACTGTCTGGAGTTCCCTTCTCCGTTAGAGGCAGTAGAATAGGGTACAGTGGTAGGAAACCTAATGCCATTTCTTGCTGACTTCCTAGAACTAAATTGAAGCAAAAACCCTGACTTTCCACGCCTAAGTAATAAAAGGACCAGAGACTACTCCCGTTTCAAACCCCAACCTGTTCTGTGGGGCAGATGGGAAATTCAAAGTACCTCTGATTGGTTGCGTTTAGTAACCATTCAGACGTATGCATAGGAGTGTAACTTTGTAATTTCACTTCAGTTTTTGACTGCTGGCCACCACTTAATTTACATGAAGTGAACACCAAGTGTCCAATGGAAATCTCTAGCAGGTATTTGGATGTGAGAAGATTCTATATCCAGGACCCTTGAGCTGCTGTTTTGCTTGCTCCCACACTCTAGAGTGTACTTTCATTTTCAATAAATTTCTGCTTTTGTTGCTTTACTCTTTCCTAGCTTTGTTTGTGCGTTTTGTCCAATTCTATGTTTAACACGCCAAGAACCTGGACACCCTCCACCGGTACCACTTTCAGCCAACTCTTTGTCCTTCAAGATCTAGGGACAGCATTGCCTTTTCCAGGAAACCTCCCGAGACCCCTTCTGATTTAGGTACCCTCCTCTGTGCTCCCTGTGATTAAATCAGCCTCTGCACATGTTACACAAGCACTATGCTTTGGTTTCAGTTTACTTGTTTGTCTCTTTTGCGATCTGTGTTATATTCCTCTTTTGCAACCTTGTCATATCCGCAATGCCAAGTATGGAGCCTGTCACATAGCAGACCTTAGAAATACTTGCTGAAAGAATTAATAATAGAGGTAGAACCACAGGGCTTAGTGAGCCCCTGGAGAAAGGGATTAAAGATGTTTCTGAGGCCTCTATATAAGGGATTGCAGAAATTTCATGATTTGACAATGGGCAGGGGGGATCATTTGTGAGCTGTATGTGACGCAAAATTTGCCCCCCCATCCTAATTTCTTAGCTCACTGGGCCAATCGGCGGATAGGACAGGTGGAGCTCAAATTAGGAGAAAAAAACTACACTTCCCGTCATGCCTTTGGGCTCCGCTCTCGTTTTTTCCCTTTTCGTCACCGCCTCTTCCCCACGGAAATCAAAGGAGTACTTCCGGTTTCGGCAACAACCTGAGCCGGCGGCATAGGTTAGCTTTAGGGCTTCGCTTCGAAGCTCCGCCTTCGCTCCGGTCTTTCTGGAAACACCGTTTTGATCTCGGCACTGCGGGACAGGTACTTCTAGGCTGCTGCGGGTTCCCTGGGTCTAGTTTGCTGCACTGGGCGGGCAAGACCGTTTCCTGGTGAAGGCTCAGAGTTCCGGCAGGGTGCATCCGGCCTGTGTGTGGCGCGAGGCAAGGGAAGCCGGTGGCCCCAACGCTGACGTTTTGTACCCTCTTTCTTCTCTCTTCGTGGTTGCAGCGTCGCAGACGCTCGTGTGAGCCTCAATGGCAGATACGACCCCGAACGGCCCGCAAGGGGCGGGCGCTGTGGTAAGTGCGAGAGCTGGGTAGTTTGGCTTGATTTGCAAGAGTTAGGAAGAAGCAGGAAGTGTTTGGAGTCCCGAGACGCTCTAGAAACAATGCTTTCAGGACTGGGATTAATGAGTTGATGTAGGGGAGTTAGAGAGGGGAGAGAGGAGGTCCTGAGCGCAGATATGGAGGGAACTTCAAGTTCGTTTCCGAAGCGACAACAGGCTGGCCTGGAGCTGGTGACCCTTACCTGTATGCCATGGAAATTGGGCCTTTCCTCTTCTCACACCTCGGTCTCTTGATTATCGTAGGCCCCAAGGTTAAAGATGCCACATGAGGTTGTGCCATGACACACGATTCATGACACACCACGTGGAGCATGCGGATTCTGGCAAAGAACATTTCTGCCTAGTTTATATCATTGTATATAGAAATTATGCAAAGAGAGGAGAGCAGTGGTCTTTTTCTTCTTCACTTTCTTCTTTATGAAGAGAATATCACTCTGCTTTTGTAAATGTTTTGAGATGCTGTTCTGGACCTAACAAGTTATTTGTGCCCGGAACATTATTGTCCTCCACTTTTTAATCCATAAGTAGTTAAGTATTTTTCTGTGTGACCGCAGTGCAGTTACCACATTTGGGAAATATTAGCTAATATAAAATCCGTGTTCAAATTTCCGTAATTGGTCTTTAAAGCTGCTTTCTCTTCGTTGGGATTCAGTCAAGAAGCATGCATCGATGGCCGGGCACGGTTTACTCCTGTAAACCCAGAATTTTGGGAGTCCAAGGCGGGAGGATCGTTTGAATTCAGAAGTTCGAGACCAGCCTGGGAAACATAGCGACACTTCCATCTCTACTAGAAATCAAAAAAATTAGGCGGGGTGTGGTGGCTCACGCCTGTAATCCTAGCACTTTGGAAGGCCGGGCGGATTGCTTGCGCCCCAAGAAGTTGAAGCTGCAGGGAGCCAAGATCGCGCCATTTTACTCCAGCCTGGGCGATAGAGAAAAACCTTGTCTCAAAATAAACAAAAGAATAAATTAGCCCGTTGTGGGGGTGCACCCCTTTAGTCTCAGCTACCCAGGAAGCTGAGGCGGGTTGTGCTATTGCGCTCCAGCCTGGGGTGACAGTGCAAGTCTGTATCTTAAAAAGCATGCATTCAATTTACTGGCCGTGTCTTCTTTACTCCCTTTTAATCTAGAACAGTTCTGCCCTCTCCTTCTCCACTCCCCCGCCCCCAATTTTTTTGAGATGGACTCTTGGGCTGTCGCTCAGGCTGGAGTGCAGTGACGCAACCTCCGTCTCCTGGGTTCAAGCAATTCTCTGCCTCAGCCTCCAGAGTAGCTGGGATTACAGGCACCTGCCACCACACACAGCTAATTTTTTTTTTTTTTTTTTTTGAGACAGAGTTTCGCTCTTGTTACCCAGGCTGGAGTGCAATGGCGCGTTGTCGGCTCACCACAACCTCCGCCTCCTGAGTTCAGGCAATTCTCCTGTCTCAGCCTCCTGAGTAGCTGGGATTACAGGCACGCACCACCATGCCCAGCTAATTTTTTGTGTTTTTAGTAGAGACGGGGTTTCACCATCTTGGCCAGGTTGGTCTTGAACTTCTAACCTCATGATCCACCCGCGTCTGCCACCCAAAGTGCTAAAATACAGGCACGAGCCACTGCACCCGGCCTCCACCCCTTTTTTGTCTTCAAAGATACCAATAGTTTTCAAGAGTTTAGACCTGTTTTGCAGCACATCTATGTATATCTGATATGTAGGAAGCATTTTACGTTGATTTATCCCATCATTGCAGAATTTGATTATTTGATTAAGGTGGTGTCCACCAGTTTCTCCATTGTAAAGATACCTTTTTTCCTTTCTAATTGAAAAGTGTTTTTTGGCATGATACTGTGAGACTATGTGACTGTTGCTCCTCAGTTTTTCAACCAAAGATCTAGTGATTTTTTTTCTTTTTGTCTGAGCCATTTATTAGTATGACGGTTGGAGAGTTTACTCTTAGAAAAATGTATACCAATACACTTTCTTTTTTTTTTTTTGAGAGGGAGTTTCGCTCTTGTTACTTAGACTGGAGTGCAATGGCACGATCTCAGCTCACCACAACCTCTGCCTTCTGGGTTCAAGCAATTCTCCTGCCTCAGCCTCCCGAGTAGCTGGGACTACAGGTGCGCACCACCATGCCCAGCTAATTTTTGTATTTTTAGTAGAGACGGGGTTTCACCTTGTTGACCAGGATGGTCTCGATCTCTTGACCTCGTGATCCACCCGCCTCAGCCTCCCAAAGTGCTGGGATTATAGGTGTGAGCCACCATGCCTGGCCACCAGTACACTTTCTTAAGGTTTTAAAATTGTGTAAGAAAATATACATAAGCATGTACAAAATAAAATCCATAGCTCAATGATTTATTGCAGAATAAACACCTTGAACAAATAGATTTTGAGGAGAATGTTCTAAAACTAACTTTCAAACTATGGTGCACAGTTGTAATATTTGTTGAGGAACTGAGCACAGTAAGCTAGATTCATCCTTCACTTGATTATGGCTAATCATCTCAATTTACTGGAGTCACAGTATGGTAAGTATGGATTTAATAATAAACCAGAGTTGAATTTCATATTTCTGAAATTACCTGCATGTGGGTTAAAAAGACATACAGTAGAACAGCCTTGAATTTTAAAATGTACTTGCATTTTTCCCAAAAATTTTTTTTAATTTTTTCAAAAGATAATGAAATTACATAGAGCAGTGTTTTTAGACTTCACGTAGACCTATTAGTGAGTTGAAAAGTCAATTTAACTAGTGGAAACACCAGCTATATTTAAATAATTAAATAGAAAATGTCAAAATTAATTACTCAGTAGGATAAATACTGTTTGTGAAAGTTGTGTTTACTTTATATATCCATGTATGTGGATCTCGATGTTAAAATTACTTAGGAAGATCTGAGACAAAAAATGTAAAAGCCACTTTAGAATTTGAATATAATTACTTTAATGGTAATAGACATAGGTATTGGGGGAAAAGCAGCAAGGGAAAAGATAGAATGGGAAAAAATGGAGAAGAAAATGGTGTATGTAAGTTTAATCTGGGACCACTGAGCCTAAGGTAAGACTTGTGGGGAACATGGAGATGATAGAGTGGTGTAATCTGAGAGGCAGGTGGCCATTTAATAGCTATCAGCTGTATTTTGAGCACCTACAGTATGCCAAGCCCTTTCGCATGTAGCCAGATGACAAGGGTAATGAGTTCAATAGTTACTACTATGATGGTTTCATATTTCTTCTTCAAAAGATTTAATTTAATCCAAACTGGCTTTATGTGATGTCTTACTCAGCTCTGAGACCTACCTATTCGGGTTTGAGATTTTTTTTTTTTTGCTAAGAATAGGCATATGGAGCTCTTGAGAGCAATTAGTTTTTATTTAATGTTCTTTTAAAATAGGTGAAGCCAATCTTACACGTATTAAAGGAACACAGACAATTGTAGTTGAATTTCTGTTAAGATTATTTTTTCTAATTAATTAGTCTTTGCATTTTTTTAAAAAAAGTCAGCTGATATTTTTTCATTTATATCTGTTTAAGTACTTGTGCTTTCCATATGAAAACCATAAGGTGTTTGGACTTGCCATTCAGCATATACATGAAACATTTCATTGCCTTAGCGTGTTCACCTAATGATCTAAAAAACAAATGGAACAAAATTAAAACATTTTGAGTAGACATAAAAATCACACAGTGTTGATGCTTAAAATATAATTGCAGGCATAGCTTACAATATTTTTATTTTTAAATTTAGCAATTCATGATGACCAATAAGCTGGACACGGCAATGTGGCTTTCTCGCTTGTTCACAGTTTACTGCTCTGCTTTGTTTGTTCTGCCTCTTCTTGGGTATGTATTATACATATTGCTGCCTTCGATATTCAATTGTTGAGTCAGTTTATATGGAATGCTTTTTAGTTGTAAGACTTGTTAAACTGTAAAGGGTTTAGGCACAAATAAAATGCAAGTTCCAGCCTTAAGGTACTAATGACCTAAAAACATTATCGGCTAGAGGAATATTTTATATCTTGTTCTTTGTGGAACGAACACATTGAAAATCCATGGAAAAATTGATGCGTGTGAATGAGATAAGTTCATGTTTTATTTTTACTTACTACTTGATAGGAAGAGTCACTGCTTTATAAAATTCAATTTTATAAATTGAATATGAAAAATTCAGTTGGGTATATATATGAAGTGATGCTATTAAAAAGGTAGACTAAGTTCAAGTAATTTTTTTCTATTGACAATTAAGTGATTTAGATGTTGTGCAATTATGATGCAATTCACAGAGGAGGAAGAGACCCTGGAGTTGTTGTTTATGTCTCATGATAACCTCTCCTCTGGCAATTTGCAGGTTGCATGAAGCAGCAAGCTTTTACCAACGTGCTTTGCTGGCAAATGCTCTTACCAGTGCTCTGAGGCTGCATCAGAGATTACCACACTTCCAGTTAAGCAGAGCATTCCTGGCCCAGGCTTTGTTAGAGGACAGCTGCCACTACCTGTTGTATTCACTCATCTTTGTAAATTCCTACCCAGTTACAAGTATCCTTTTCTACTTTTTTAACAATGAAATTGCCAACTAAGCATATAGGAGTCCTCTTCTGATTATTTCAGCAATGAAGGCATTCCATGAAGACTGGGTTTGTTCTTGACACTTCACTTGAATGAAGGTATGTTTCGTGTAAGAATTTGACTTTAAAATCTAAGTTTAAACTATGAAGAGCTAATTTAGGAACTTTCAACTATTTTTGTTCTTGCCTCTCGAAAGCTTCTTTATTAGAATGGATATTTTTGAATTCGGCTTCGAAGTACAAGCTTATGCAGAACTTACTTTAAGATTTTAAATTTTTTTTATTTAATTCACGTTTTTGGCAGTGTCTAGATGTCTTGCTTTAAAAAAGAGAGATCCTCAGCTTTTTCCAGTCTTAACCCCAGTAAGCTAGACACAAATGGAATGTAACCAAGAAATAAGTAGGGAATGAGGTATTTAAGCAGGGAATGAGATAATCAATACAAAGAAAGTAATATTTGCTGTATAGAGTAGAAAACAAGGACATGCATGGCTAATCCCTGGAGCTAATGAGAACTCATTTGGAATTTGTATGTTTTCGCATTTCAAAGGTGTGTTGTGGCATGATACTGAGTATTCCATAAAGGAGGGGAAAATGAGAAAGAAGTTCTGTTGTGTATTTGGAAAATGCTAGGTTGAACATTTTTAAATAGGGTTCTTTATTATAGGGCCTTTGGTATTCTAACGTGTGTTGTGAGACTAAAAGAGTTCCTAGTATTTTTTAAACTTAACTTTTTTGGTTGTTTTTTTCCTGTAGATTATCTCTCTGCAAATCATTTTGTGAATTGAGAAGTGCTACTCTAAGAACTTTGGAATATTTATGATACATCTATATGTTATATAAATCACAATAAAATATGCCTCTGAGACTCAATCTTATCTATTCATGGAGTATCAGATTTTTAAATAGATTTTTGTAGGTCTTAAGGAAAAGAGATAAGAGGAAGCCGAAATGTCCTGGGCACCTATTTTGCCAATATAACATGTTGACATATTTAATCTTTATAGCACTCTGAAAAAAATCCTTATGGTATATTTTTAATAAAGATGCTGATTTGCTGATTGTCAGTATCCGCTTCCTACACATTGGCTAGTACGTAGTAATGCTGACAAGGTCTTACTAACTTAAAAGCCCTACCTAATCTATGGTTAGTGGGTGAGTAACACTTAAGTGTACTTTAAAAATACTTCTTTCTGTATGTGAGTAAAGCTGGTAACTTCACATAAATGTTCAGTATATGGAGATTCCCTTTAAATTACTTGCTTCATCGAGATAATATGGGGAGTTTGAAATGTAAGGATAGCATTTTTTCTGTTTGAATACGTAGGTCTGTAATGTCCCATCATAACTTGTGTGTGTTCATTTTTAGGTAAAACTCATTAAATGATTACTACAGCTGTAAATGATGATCACACACATTTGCTTGGCGTATTACTGGCTTGACCAGCATCTGTTGATTGAAGTATTTTGCAGTCACCAATGTTAAAATTCTAGCCTTTCTGAGCTATAATGAGGAGTTATATAGAGATTTTTGGTCATACCTTTTAGTAGCTTAAAATTTCTTTGGAGGGTGAAATAGAAATGACACAAATGTGTTTTAATGTAGAGTAAACTCAATATGTCAGTAACTTTGGGAACAGTGGCTCACACGGATCAGGTGCTTAGTAAGTTTTGTTGAGTGAATCCTGAGGTCTTGCCAAATGAGACTCATGACTGGTGAAGACAACCTTTCTGCCTTTTTTATACAATTGGTTATTATGTTGAAGACTAAGGAGTTCATATTCCTTAAATTCTTAGAAAGAGAATGTAGTAAACAGTGGGAATAACATAAACTAGTAATTTTCAAGAAATGCTAATCTGATTATTAAGGTGATACGGTATAAATAAAAGTGGGCCCAAAGTAGTGTTACAGACTTGCGTTCTGATCTTTGTTCTTATAAAGGTGGTATTTTGTCCTTGTTTGGTTAATAACAGGTACTTAGAGCTTTTCATCTCTTATCTTTTCTAAATACATTGTATTAGTAGTTTAAAAGTAATGTTGGGGCCGGGCACAGTGGCTCACGCCTATAATCCCAGCACTTTGGGAGGCCGAGGCGGGTGGATCACGAGGTCAAGAGATCAAGACCATGCTGGTCAACATGGTGAAACCCCGTCTCTACTAAATATACAAAAATTAGCTGGGCATGGTGGCGCACACCTATAGTCCCAGCTACTCAGGAGGCTGAGGCAGGAGAATTGCTTGAACCCAAGAGGCGGAGGTTGTAGTGAGCCGAGATCACGCCATTGCACTCCAGCCTGGGTAACAAGAGCGATACTCCGTCTCTAAAAAAAAAAAAAAAAAAGGTAATGTTGGAAGCTAAGATTATGAATCTCTTGCCTAGGATTTGTAAATGTTAGAAATAAGACTCCTTAGAAATGTCTAGCTTTGATCTACATACTTATTTGCCAGAGCATGAAACTTGGCCTAAGAAAATTAGGTTAGTGACAGAGTCAGGAGTGGAACCCAGGTTTCATAACTCCCAATTCAGGGCTCTATTTTTACTACTTGACACTGCCCCTTTTATTGAATTCAGTCTGGATATGTGACTGAAGTTTAAATTCTTTAAGCATCAACAGAGTTTTACAGTGACTTTAAGATAGGATTGTAGCTTCCATCAGTTTCAAAGTAGTCTATGCTTCATTAAAAAATTTAAACTTTATATATACATGTATGATCTCTACTTAGGAAATGGACATTTTTCTTAGTTCTTGTTAGAGGTGGGAAAGAGTTGATTGGGATATTAATTTGGAGAACTATATTAGAGAGTTAAGGTTCCTCTAATACTAGGATATAGGTTGGTGTCTTGCTTGCCAATTCGAAACTGGAACCCTTGGATTCCTAAACGAGTTATGGTTGTAATGAATTTGCTACTTAGATTATGTTAGAGCAATCACCATTTCCTATCATATCAGGCCTTCAGTTAGTATAGAAAAATAACATGGTTTAGTTCTTAGGAACTGCTAATATTTTTAGGACAAGCATTTTTGTCATTCATGATTGACTAAAAGTCTATATCATTTTGTGGAACTACTTGACAATTTTTTTTAATCAACCTGGCAGAAATTGGAGTGGAGAATGGGGTCTTTTGAACCCTTTCCATTTTTCAAAAAGTTGAATGAAAAGTGTGTATTTATCCATAACATAAAGCCAAACAGTTGGACTCAAAAGGATTCTCTCCTTATGTCTGTATTTAAGATGATGAGAGTTTTAATTGAATATATACAAAACAAAATATATACTGCCGTTTTAATTTTTACAAGTTGAGAGCGTAAATGTAACAACTTGCTTAGGTATAGTATCTCAAAATAATGGAGTCTCTGTAGGAAAGAAGTAATAGAAGATCTTTAGTCTTTGGGACTAAAACCTGGGGAATTACTCTTTAAACCATTACCTTAGACTCTTTCCTCAGCATTTGAGATTGTGAAATGACTATACAACTACTGTTTGAAGGCTGCATTAAAGTGACCAATAAAGCCGTTGGAGGGTTAAAAGCTATACTTACAACCTTTTGGGGTGGCCTAGATTTCGCTTTAATTTAGCAAGTGTTTACAATGTTAGCCAGTAGAAATGAATGAAAAAAATTTTTTCGCTATTAATTTTTGTCATAAAAAGAACTGAATTTTAGAAAATGAAATAGTTTACTTTCTTTACAGTTGACAGAATTTGATTTAGCTTAAAGTGTATCAGTAAAACAAGCCATTCTACTGAACTCATTTTAGCAGATGTTTCAGATCTGTATATTTGGACATAATATGTAGTCTGTTTTGCAAAATGCTTGATGACTTTTAAATGTTTTCCTTAATTGTTTTCTTCAGTGAGTATTTTCCCAGTCTTGTTATTCTCATTGCTTCATGCTGCCACATACACGAAAAAGGTCCTTGATGTAAGTAAAACTGCTATTTCTCTAACTTGTGAATTACGGATCACTGACATGAATTAGAGTTCTAAGACATTTTGGCATTTGTCCCAAAAAGTTTCTTTATACCATACAAACTTGTTTAAATTATTTACTGATTTGAAAATTTTAAGTTCAGAAGTGTTAATTGTTGAAGTTCACAAACTAGTACATTTTATAGATAAAGGATTGCACTTAAAATTACCCCCCGGTCTACAGGAGAATTTTTCAAGTTTGAAATAGGTCTATTTTTTTGAAATTTGTGTTGCTAAAAGTGTTGAGTTGTCAGATCTCTTGTTCTGTCAGTGTTTAATTCTCGCATACCAGAGAAGTTGCATGTACTGAATAAATCTCTTTTACACTTATTTTCAGAACTGCTGCTTTCCTGAAATTCTTATTGCTAGGTTGGAACATTAAGCCTAGCTTGGCCCCAGGCCATTTACAGCATATATACTGAAATTTGAATTAAAATATCCAGATTTATGCTTTGTATTGGCCTTTTTCTTTACCCTGTAATTCTTTGGTCACAGCAGTAATTACACTCTAACTTCTAACACTAGCTAAGGAAGGAGTCAAAGATATTTTAACTGTAATACTGGATAGTCAGATTTTGTTGTGGTTGGAGAGAAATAACCATTTTTTGTTAAATAATCGTTCTTGAGAAAAATAAAGCAGCTAAGAATGAAAAGTACTTTTACTAAAGTTGTTTTTTAAAGTCTAAAAATACAAAAAAAAAAAAAAGCAGGAAAATATACTGCATTTGTCCTTAAATTGTTTGTGAACTTTGTACCATCATTTCTAAAGTAGTATATTTGGTTATATTGCCTGTTGGATAAGCTATTTAGCTAAAGAAAGAAAATATTGTTATCAGAAATGCTTCACTTATTTCTAATGTTGGCTTTCTCTTTTTTTAGGCAAGGGGTTCAAATAGTTTACCTCTGCTGAGATCTGTCTTGGACAAATTAAGTGCTAATCAACAAAATATTTTGAAATTCATTGCTTGCAATGAAATATTCTTGATGCCTGCAACAGTTTTTATGCTTTTTAGGTAAGGAAAAATTATATTTGTTTTGGAAGGCTGATGAGTGAACATAATAAAATAGTAACTCAGTTTTTCTTATTTAAATCTGTTGAAGCTAGGTATTGACATGTAGAGCTAGTTGAATCTTAGTAGTCACCTAATCTAACCTTTTTCATTTATAGTAGAGAATCTGAAATATGGTAGACCTAGGAATTTGTCTTATTCCTTGTGATTTATCATTTAACTGTTTAAAAATTACCTTGATAATTAACTACCTTTGAAAGAATCTTACAAGTCTAATCTAGTCTATTCTGCCACTATTGAGATGATGTTTCTTACACTAGAGAAAAACCTTTAAATGGGCTTGTATTAATAGTTGCCTACTATCACCTTATTTTGTTTGTATCTTTTTTTATTAAGTCAGAGTCTGACTCTGTTGCCTAGGCTGTAGTGCAATAGTGTGATCTCGGCTCACTGCAACCTCCGCCTCCCAGGTTCAAGCAGTTCTCCTGCCTCAGCCTCCCAAGTAGCTGGGATTACAGGCACTTGCCACCACACCTGGCTAATTTTTGTATTTTTAGTAGAAACTGGGTTTCACCATGTTGGCCAGGCTGGTCTTGAACTCCTGACCTCAGGCTGTCCACCCACCTCAGCCTCCCAAAGTGCTGGGATTACAGGCATGAGCCACCGTGTCCAGCCAAAGAGCCTCCTTTTAAAAGTATGAACGTTAAAATAGTATTGACGTCTGCACTGAAATGCTTGCATACATTTTAAAACAATACACCTTGCTACCCAGATGATTGCTGTATCAATTTTTAGTTTTACAAGTAATAGGACATTACAGATAAAAACTAAAATAACATTTGACTATATGAATCCTAGTTGCAGTTTTGTCCACTTCCCAGAGGTGTAAGGAGTTTAATATATGTCTGTGTATGTAGTCCTTTAAAAATACTTATACAGATTTGTAGAACATATGTATTTCGGATGTGGGGTTTTGTTTGTTAATTTGTTTAGTTCTTATTTTACATCAAAGATATTATTCTAGTTGGGCATGGTGGCTCATCTCATGACTGTAAGCCCAGCACCTTTGGAGGCCAAAGTGGGTGGATCATTTGAGGCCAGGAGTTCGTGGCTAGCCTGGCCAACGTGGTGAAACCCGATCTCTACTAAAAATATAAAAATTAGCCAGGCATGGTGGTGCACACCTGCAATTTCAGCTACTTGGGAGACTGAGGCAGGAGAATTGTTTGAATCTGGGAGGCAAAGGTTACAGTGAGCTGATATCACACCGCTGGACTCTGCCTGGGCAACAGAGCGAGACTCCCTCTCACCAACCCCCCCCCCCAGAAAAAGGTGTTATTCTGTACCTTTTTCACACTTGTATGTTTCCATAACCTATTTGATTTGGTATACCCAGTTCTGTTTTTTGTTTAGCCACATAGCATTCTAACTTATATCCTGATCATGGAAATTTGTTTCCAGATGTTTAGTTTTTCAAATATTGACGCAGTAAATATTTTTTACCTGCTTATACTTCATGCCAGTGTTTTCTTTAACATAGATGCCAGAATTGATTTTGCTGAATACAAGCTAGGCGCCTTTTGTGTTTAGTGGACCATGCTAAATTGTTCTTTAAAATGTCTGTATTACTTGTTTTTCATAATCTTGTTAATTTGCAACAAACTGTCATTATTAATTATATAGTTACATTTTATTATTTTAACTGTACCTTGCCTTGATTAACTAGTAAAGTTTTCATGTACTTGACAATTACTTCTCTCTGTAGCAGTCTCTTCAAACTACCAACGGAGTTTTCTAGATTTCCTTATCAGTGTATCTGTTTCATTCTTTTAAGTAGTGCTTTCCTCTGAGAACTCCAGGATTGGCAGGTGTTGCTTGAGTTGTGTGGTCCCAACTAGAAAATGTAATCTAAATAAAGCTCTGGAGTGATACAATGGAAACACTTCCTACTGGGCTTTATAGACCTGGAGTTTAGTTGATTTGACCTTATCTTGGTTAGCCTTCTGAGCCTTCTCCCCGAACCATTTAAAAACTAATATTAGTTGAAATAGGTAGATGCCTAAAATCCTTCTATCTACAACATTCCATAAATGCCGAATATAAGATTTGATGCAGTCATATTTGTAAATTAACTATAAAACCTTGACGCTAAAATTTAATAAAAGCCTTCTCTTATCCTAGAACCTGAATGCACATAAAAGACAAGGGTAATGTAATCTGAGACAACAGAAAAAGGGACAAGATCAATGTTCCAATATTTTTCCCATCATTCGTAGGTTTTTTTTTTTCACTTCTCAGACACTTAGAAACTTTAATTATTAATTAGTAAAAGAAACTTTTTGCTCTTATTTTTCTTGTTTTTATGTGGGTATGTCACTTAATCCTGCTTTTGGGTCAGACCAGGTTCTATGATTTGTTTCATGTAATTTGATGAAAGTTCAAATGGTAGATACCAAAACTAGTTTTTTTATAAGGGTATAATTGATGTCTGTATTCTGAAACCTCCAGATTTTGTTTAGTAAGCAAAATAATTTCTTATGCTCCTCTTAAATCATATTAAGACAGTTTTAATGAAATTCTGAGATGCCATGCAAACTTAGACAAAACTTCACTTTGGAACTATAATGAATTTTTTCTTAAGGGCACCAGGTTTTGACATCATTGGTACGTTAATTCAGTTGTGCTCCTGAAATGTTTTATTTAAACGTTATTTGTACAAACTTATCATCTTAATTTTTAAGATTACTGTAAAGAAGGTGAGAATTTGCCAGAAATGTTTAAATAGAGAAATCATTTTGTTTGTTGGAAAAATTAAAATCAACTTATAAAGTTGTATTTAATTCCTACTAGGAAAAACTGTTAACGCTATAGGTAGGTAGCTTGAATATAACCCAAACAACAAAATTAAGAACAATCTTACATTATTGCTATTCCTAATATGCTGTCCTTCATGGTAGACACACAGTCTAATATTACGAGGCTTTATCAAGTTATTCGTACCAGTAATGCTTCAAGCTCTGTTTTTAAAAATGGATGTGAATTTATCTTACACATGCGTTGCACATGTGTGCAAAGACAGATAAGGGTCATTGTAGCATCATTTCTAGTTGACTGGAGCCACCCAAATGTTCATTAGTAGGGAGCTTGTCAAGCATTAGATGGAATACTTGAAGCTGTAAAAAAAAAATTGAGATAATGTATGTGTTGTGATATAGGATAATCACCAAGAGATTTAAGTTAGTTTGTAGGGTGTTCTCCATTTTTATTTTGTGGGGTGTATGTGTGTAAGGACATATATATGTTTCTGTCCAATTTTTTGGGAAAGATAAACCACCTCTGTCCTAGAATTGTTAAACAGATTTGGTGAATTTTAAAGTGAGGACTATCTTAGTGTTAGTCATCGTATACACTTGTGTATATAAATTTCTGAAGGGACATACTCGAAACTGTGGCGTGAAGAAGGGGCTAACTTGGATGATGGGAAATTTGTTTTTTAAGTGAATATTTTCTATTTATGTTTTCTGTGTTGTGTCTCTTACATTTTCACTTTAAAAAGTTAAAAATGTATCAAATTATGGGGGAAAATGCATGTTGGAATTGTTTAGTGGTAAGTTTGCAATCGTGTAATTATTTTTTTTATGAAAGTAATGCAGTTTAGAAGAAAAGGCTAAAAACCTAATAAAACACAATTGGCATCCTAATGTATTTCTTCCAGTTTTAAAAAATACAGTTGTAATAATATATGTAGTTCTATATTCTGCTTTTTTCAAAGTTGCTATGTAATTTTCATAACCTAGATTCTAGGTAGTTGCATATTGAATCCATTAAATACCCATAAAATAATATAAGTTGTTTAATTCTACTTCCTTACTTTTCACATTAGGTTGTTGCCACATTTTGTTCGTAGTTATTTCAGTGAATGTCTTAATTCAGATAGTTTTTCTTAGGGAAGAATTCCAGACTTGGCATTTCATAAGCATATATATAATTCTTTGGATATTGTAATTGTGTTTTTTAACCAAGAAAAATAATTAGTATAGGCCACGTAGATTTACTAATGATGACCCAGTATAATTTTTTTGGTGGGGGGGAGTGGTTTTTTTTTTTTACTGTATATAAAATAAGTCACTTTGCATATTTTATGAAGCCTTACAACATCAGTTAGTAATTACCAAAGTATTTATGTAACGTTCTCTGATTTTGTATTTTAAAAATTTCAAAAGTAATATATACAATAATACATTTATAAAAATTAAACAATAGCATTTTACTCTTTACTAATCATATACATTCTAAGATATTCTTTTTAATGATAACTTGGATTTAGACATGATAGATTTCACTATGACCATTTGATGAATGAAGATACACATATTCTCCAGTTGAATTGCCTTTAAGTTTTGAGAGTATACACGTGAATTGATATTGTATATTTATCAGTCTTGTATTTTATCTTCCTTGTTTATTTCAGTGGTCAAGGAAGTTTGCTCCAACCTTTTATATATTATCGATTTCTTACTCTTAGATATTCATCTAGAAGAAATCCGTATTGTCGGTAAGCTGATGATTATTTTAAAAATGTTTTATTTGTTGAGAGTATTGTGAATACATAGTATTTATAATTCTCAAGAGTTGTTTAGCTAATGTGTTAGAATTTAGAAGCAAGCAGTGTTTTTGTAAATTTAAGTTCTAGGCCTTAAAATGTACTAGGGTTGGTGAGGAAGTGGTTGTATTTCTTTTTAGAAACTGAGACTGGAGTTATCTACACCACCTCTAAAGCACTGCTAAAACTTAGCAAATTTTAAAATGTGTAAGACATAGGTTTCACTCTCAGCTTTCTTAGTTGAAGAAACAAAAGCACATGTCAATTAGATGAACAGTGGTTAGGACACAGTATTCACAAGCCAGTAATGCCATAGGTTTGCTTTATCATATCAGTACTGTAGTCCTCAGAAGGGAGAGATCATTGGGCCAGAAGATAGATGAGCCCGAAGATAGATGAGCCCAGGAAGCTTTCACAAAATTGAGATTGTGGAAAGAGTAAAGCTTTTGAATAGTGAAAACAGGGAAAAACACTTTAGGTGGGGAAATAGTAGAAGCAAGAGAGTTAAGAAGCACAAGCTATATTTGAGGAAAGTTATGTAGACCTAGTTTGACTCAAATGGAGATTCTGAATAGTGAATTGCTGACGCTAAGATTAGAAAGGTATATTGGAGCCATGTTATAAAACTACTTGAGTTTTAGGGTAAGAAGTTTGGAATTTATCTTTTAGATGAATGGGACTGATGATTTTGACATGGTGAGAACATTCTTTGGATAGCCTTGTGCCAGAAGAGTTTGAAACAGAAAAATGGGGAAGCAGAGAAATTTTAGGGAATTACTATAGTTTTCAGGAATGGAGACTTCAATTAATATACACTAAATTATACACTCTGATCTTAAGCATTGGAGCAAACTAAAATGAATAGATGTTTTTAATAGCTTTAACAATGATACTCAGATCATTTTCATTACTGATAGTAATATAGTGTATTTTCAAGTTTAAAATAATATAGAATTCAGCCAGAAATTTAATGAGTGCATTCGAGCAATCTGTATATTATATTTTTATAAATACAGTAAAAAGAACTGAATTTGAATGCTGGCCCATCGTTAACCAGTTGCATAACTAGGCAAGTTATTTAAATTTGGCTTTCTTTATTGGTAGAGGAAATGACTTGTGGGGTGAAGTGAAGTAATATTTTAGAAGTACTTAGACTCTGTTAGCTTCTTACTAGTTTACTATTCTATGATCTCATTTTCCTTTCAGAGCGTTTTTGTGCTCTCTTAGGCAATGTCTTTTTTTATAATACTTTCTAAAATAGAGCTTATTTTAGATATTTGTTCTTAATGAGTCTCTAGTAGCAAACTTTCATTCTTACTTGATTTCATGATTTTAGACTTTTTTCTTTCTCATCCCTATATTCATTTTAGACATTATCTTATAGTCTCTTGCCCTAACGTCCATTATTTTAATCAGCAAATTTGTTTTTCTGTGCTTTGTACCTCCTCCTCCATTCCCATTTTCTCCACATACCCTTAAATCATATTAATACATCTAGAACTTAGTTTTCAGTGGACTGAAAAGGAAAGAATAGCAATGAATCGAGGTAACACAAATATGTGTTAATAAACATCTTCAAAGATCTCTTTTAAGCACATATTTTAATCAAACCAGTGGAAAGGTGTTGGAAAATATTTCGACTTATGAATGTTGATAAACAGGCTATAAAACTACGTTTTCAGTACTACGCTTTTTTTAATTAAAGATTTTGAGACCATCTGTATTCACATTTGTGCCATTTTCACCTATGGTATTCTCAAATTGGTGGTTTCAGTTCTTTGTGGATATTTAGTATAGATTGTCTATAGCTGTGCTGTCCAGTATAGCACAGCAACCACATGTGACTATTTAAATAAAATTCATTTAAATGAAATAAAAATTTAAAACTCAGTTCCCTTTGAGCACATTCAGGTAGGTTCTCAAAAGCCATGTGTTGCTGGTAGCAAGTGTGGGTCAGCACAGATATGCAAACATTTTATCATTACTCAAAGTTCTGTTGTCAGTGCTATTAAGGAACTCTCTGACTTGGTCTGTGCCGGTGATGTAGCCCATAATAAAACAACTAGCTGTGAGTGAAAGCGATTGAATTCATTAGTCCTTATGCCTTCTAGCTTTATTCATTTGACTGATTGGTTAAGAAAACAGTGACTTTATGTTGATGAAATGTGGAATTAAAATACCTGCTTTCAGGAGTACTCACTGCTGAATAAATTAGACAGCGATGTAAGTCAGTGTGATGATGAAGGTGCTCTGAAAGCATACAGAACAGAGGCAAATGAGAATTCATTGAGGAGGTGGGAACATAAGCCAAGTCTTATAAAGAATGAGCCTGAGTTCTGACACATGGGTGCCTGAAAGTGCTTAGCATACCCGTACGTAAATGTTACTTGAGCTCAGGAAGTTTATAGAGAATTGATCAATATCTGTGCCCAGAAAGGTAGATGGTAGAAAGGACTAGATTATGGAAGGGTTTGGATTTTGTTTTGAGGTAAGGAGAACCTATCAGGATTGTAACATGGAGGGGTTGGGAACCCCCATGATGAAATTTGATTTAGAAATATTCCAGAAAATGGATTGCAGGCTCACCAAGAGAAGAAAAAAGGTCAATTTGGAGAGTGTTAGCAGTCTAGAGGCTGAACTGATCCATTGGTAAAAGAATAAGGGAACAAATATAAAAGATATTAGGAGATATAGGATATTAGGGCTTGGGAGAAAAGAGTAAGTTAAAGACTTGCAGGTTTTTGGCCTGGAATCCTAAAAGAGTTATAATGGTGCTCTCATAAAGACAGGAGATATAGGAAGGGCAGGTTTTGGAAAAATAGGCATCCTTCCAAATATTATTCCTGTCTTTCAATGCAAGCATATTAAACACTTGTTTAGAAAAGTAGATTTGTTGCTTTTTTTCTAGTCATAAAACAGGATACAGAAAGGTAGTACAGGAGCTGTTCTTTACACAGGATGAGTCAGCACATAAGGTGAAAATTGTGAATGGTTAAAATAACCCTTGATGATCCTTCATATCACTTATAAATGTCAGTACAGTATACATGATTTTGTATATACTGGCTTGTATACTATATATGTGATGCGTACACTATGTGATAATACTTTGTAAGTAGTGAGCAGTTAAGGCAAAGGCCAAGTCCACGTAGTTTTGGGCACAAATGTGCAACATAAGTTGATGGTGATAGTAGTGAGGGCAGGGAGTGGCAGGAGATAGGGTAGAAAATTAGATTGAGACTAGATTATGGAGGGTATTAGGTGTTATGCTGAAGACTTGAGCTTAAGTCTGAAGGCATAAAAAAGTCATAGTTCAGTATAATGATCCAACTAGGAAGTACATTTATTGAGCATCTTCTATGTTGCATTTAAACTTCACCACAACTCTCGATTATTTTACAGAGGAGGAAATCTCTGAGGGACAATATATAATTTAAGGAAATAGTGGGTGAACACTGCCCATGTTATATACTTTTTCTTGTTCTCTTTTTAAAAAAACTTGTTGAAATTGCCTAAGTTAAATGTGAAAATGATGTGACTCTACTCTAAAGAAATTGTATAAATTGTCTAATCTGAGGTTTCAGAGATAGCTATTTGTTAAATACCTTTGTTAAATGGTATTTCCACCCATAAAAGATGTAGGTGTTCAGTCTGAGAATTTCATTGTGTGTACTTTGTGTTTTCTCTACAATGCATTCTAGTTATTATTTTATTTCTCTAATGGCTATGGTATATTCCTTCATCAGCATTTGTTTAGCATTAGAGGCATGCTTCATAAATATTATGGAAGTGGTTCCAGACCACCACAATAAAGTGAATATCACAATAAAGCCGTCAGAAGAATTTTTTGGTTTTGCTGCAGTACATACAAAAGTTACGTTAACGCTCTACTGTAGCACACACAACAGCATTACTATCAGCAGTAAGGCTGTTCTGCTTTTATGTCATTCATCTGTTCGCAGAAATAGCACTTTTAATTTCCTTCAGGAACTTTTCCTTTGCATTACAGCTTGGCTATTTGGCACAAGGGGTCTAGCTTTTGGCCTGTTTTGGCTTTAGACATGCTTTTTTCACTAAGCTTAATCATTTCTAGTTCTGATCTAAAGTGACAGCCATGGGAGCCCTCCTTTCACTTGAGCACTCAGAGGCCATTATAGGGTTATTAAGTGGCCTACTTTCAATATTGTGTCTCAGGGAATAGGTAGGTCTGAGGAGAGGGAAAGAGACCAACCAGTAATGACCTTGATTAAGTGCTTTGTCTTACGTGAGTACAGTTTGTAGTGCCCCAAAACAATTGGAATAGTAACACCAAAGAGCATGATCACAGATCCCCATCGCAGATATAGTAATAATGAAAACATTAGGAATAGTGGGTGAATTTTGGCAAAGTGTGACACAGAAACATAAAGTCAGCACATGCTGTTGGAGAGTGGCACTGATAGCCTTGCTGTAAGGTATTACTGTAATGGTGCTGCAACAAACCTTCAGTTTGTAAAAAATGAAATATCTCTGAAGTGAAATAAAGTGAGGTAAGCCTGTGTATTGCTTTTTGCTTGTATTTCTCAAAGAAAACTGTTTTATCTTGCAGGACCTTATTTAATGAACTGAGGATTGTTGTTGAACACATAATAATGAAGCCTGCTTGCCCACTGTTTGTGAGAAGACTTTGTCTCCAGAGCATTGCCTTTATAAGCAGATTGGCACCAACAGTTCCGTAGTTTAACATCTAGTTAAGCTATAAATATAGTATAAGCATTATTAGCAGCTGGTACTTCTGCTAGGGGTTGTAAATTCCAGGTGTTACACTGACCTCAATCCAATTTACATAATTTACATAAATGCATCTCAGTGGAAGAATAATAATTTTCTTGGCATGTTAAATCAAGCTTAAGAAGTTTTGAGAAAATTTTACTGCGCTGTGTTGCTAATGGTTAAAGAAGTCTGTATCTAGTGATAAATATACCAATTTTTTTTTTAAAAAGATGCTGTTGTGCCTATATCATAAAGTACATTTATTTCTCCTATAAAAATAGCTCTAAAATTTGTTTCAACCTAATTGGTACCCTGAATTTCTATCTGGCATGAGTTCATTATGTTGATACACATATGTGAATTCAGTACAGTTTGAGAAAAGTATTCTACCATTCAGTAATTTTGGTTAATGATTTTAATATTTCTCAGTGTATTTAATTTCTAATTGTTTTTTAATTGGTTTTATGCTGCTTTGTTAGGACAGATGTGTTTTGAATGTACCATTATAAGAAAAATTCTACATATCTTAAACTATGACCTTTTAAAATTTTATTTCCATAAGTAGTTTTGTGGTCTTGAGTATGTTTTAAAAGGCTCAACTGTAAGTGTCTTTGCCAACTGGATAAATTTTTGGGGTCACCTAGCCATTGAAAGCAGAAAGCAGCAGTGACACAGCTTTCCTTTCAGAGAGCCATTGAGAAACATTTCTCAAATAGGAAATCCTTCTTTTCCTGATGTGGGCATATATATTATTTGTATTATAGTTTGTAGAACTACCTAGTTCAGAATCTTGACTGCCGGTTTTCTTGGTTTCTTAGGCTTGAATTTTCATAGACAATTGCAACAGTTTAGATGCCTTTTGAAAGGAATGTAACTGAAGATTCAGCATCTGACTGTATGTGTGTCTATTCTGAAATACTAATGGAGAGTATCCTGTAGAGTTCATATTTACCCATCAAATCTGACTTAAAAGGTTAAATGGAAGATTTTATAGGTAAGGTAATTGGTTAGGAAAGGGGTAGGGGGAGGAATTGTGGGGGAATAGTGTACATTCCAGTCTCTTAATGCATAGATACATTTAGGAGAATTGGATGTATTATGCAACTTTGATTTGGGTTGTAAAATGTGTTAAATCCTGTTCATTGCGTTCCCATCAACTCTTTTATAAAATTCATACTGATCTTTGCTACCGTTGCATGATTAGAAATGTTTAAAACATTGTAAAGTTTTAATATAGAGTAATGTAATGGTTTTTGTGACCAGTTTTCTGTCTGCATGTAATTTGGATTTCTCAAATACATTCGTTAGTAATTTATCAGTAGCATTATTTTTATTTTTGTTCATCTTTCTAATCTATAGAAAGGGGATACTCTGCTGGGCGTGGTGGCTCACGCCTGTAATCCCAGCACTTTGGGAGGCCTAGGTGGGTGGATCACAAGGTCAGGAGATCAAGACCATCCTGGCCAACATGGTGAAACCCCATCTTAGAAAAAAAAAAAAAAAGAAAGGGGATATTCTTAGGATAAATACATGAAAAATTATACTTGATAGCTTAAATATAATCAGCTATTTTTGTATTTTTGTAATATTTGTTCACTAAGTTGGAGAAGCAGCCTTATAATATGCAGTTGATTTTGTGTGTGTGGCTAATCTCATTGTCACTATGTAAAGTAACCTAATGGTTTTAGAAACTAAACTTTCTAAAGCAATAAAATGACTGTAATATTAAGTAAACATAATATGGATTTCTAATTATGTTTTTAAAAATGAAGTCTTGAATTATATCAAGAAATTTTGGCAGCTGAAGGCATATTTATGTTGAAGCTATTAGTTTTTTCCTATAATTTAAAAAAATCTTTTAGATTTATAGAAGAGTTGGAAATGTACAAGGGAGGTTTTGTTTTTCATTTTTTTGTTTTTTTTGTTTTTTTTGAGACAGAGTCTCACTCTTACCTAGGCTGGAATGCAGTGGCGTGATCTCAGCTCACTGTAGCCTCCACCTCCTGGATTCAAGTGATTCTCCTGTCTCAGCCTCCTGAGTAGCTGGGACTACAGGCCCACACCACTATGCCCACCTAATTTTTATATTTTTAGTAGAGATGAGGTTTCACCACGTTGGCCAGAATGGTCTCAATCTCCTGACCTCTTGAGCCACCATGCCCGGCCAAGAGAGTTCTTTTGCATACCCTTTATTTAGCTCCTCTCATGTTAACATTTTATATAACTGTAGAACATTTATCTAAAGTAAGATATTAGCCCTGGAACAATACCACTAGCTAAAGTATAAAACTTATTTGAATTTCAACAGTTTTTTTTTATTATTATTTTTCTTATATGTGCTCTGATAACCATGATCCATGATTTTTTTTTTAACCATGATTGTCTTCTAAAGATCTGTAAATATGTCTCTTTTTCAGTGTTTCCTCTTTATTTTAAAAAATACTATTGGTCAAGATAATTGGTCAATAATCCATGTTGGTTTTAACATTAAAACTACTACAATATAAAACAACACTGTGCTATAAATTGAGGTTTTTGTGTCATTATAGCAGAATTATATTTCAGATATACTCATGTTTGACAAGTTGAAACATAGACTTGTTTCTTAAAGGAAGGCTTAATATACAAAAAAGGTACCCTTAAACTCATGAAAAAGTAAATTTTACAATTTGAGCATTATTAGATGCTTAGTTTGCATGAACTCATAGTTAGAAATTCTACAGTAGGAATATCTACAACCAGCTGATTTGGAATTTGAAATTAATAGTGTTATATGTATACCTATCAAGTTGAAATTAAGGAAATACAGTAGCAATATATAGAATGAATGTAGTAAGAGAAATCAACTCTACTGCATCCTTAAAGTTATTGTTAGTTCAGGTTTAAAAGAAGCTCCTTTAACATCCAGAGTGTCTAATCTTCAGGAATTGGTGTAGTACCATTGTTCTAGCACTTTTAAATATTAAACCCTTTTGGATAGATGGAAGCCTTATATAAAATCTACTTTGTTTTAGCAGGGATTCCGTATCCTTTTATATAGTTGATACCTTATTAATTTCAACTCTAACATTAGTCTAAAGAGAAATTTCTCTTTTTTTCCCCCTAACCCTAACCCTAAAGAGAAATTTCTTAAGTGCAATTTGTATTTAATTTTTTTGGAATAAAATTTAGAGGTAAATGTTCCTGGAAGAAAGAAAAACAGCAAACTTTTTATAGAAAATTGATTTGAATATTTAAGAATGTTCCTTATAGAGAAAATCAAGGCCAGCTATAATACTAAACTAAAAGTAATGAAAAATTAATAGGTTCTGTTATAGAGCTGAGAATTATAAAACTATCAATACATCCTTCTTCCTAAAAGTCCAGATCAAAAATTCAGGTTAGGTTTGCAAGTTCAGGACACAAATAATATTTTTTTCTGGAAAAGAAGATGAGTATATGTGTAATAAGACAAACAGAACTGAGAGATTTAGGGTAAGTTTTAGTTCAGAATAAATTCATTTTGAGAGATTGAGGTGAATAATTTTAACTAATGCTAATGTTAAGGAGTTTATTTTGATTAACATAGTTATTCTGACCACCACCTCTTCTTCAATCTCTGTAGAATCTGAGTCTCAAAGCTGTCACGCAAGTGAGACTAGTTTTGATACTTGGAAATGAAAAACTTCAAGGAAGTAGCCACAGACAGTTATGTTTAGTATCAGTAGGTGGCACTCTTTCCTCAGACAGCCCCCCATTTTCACATGTTGTGTTTGAAGGTTAAATGCCACCAAGTTTTGAGTCAGCTATAAAACTAAGCATCTGAATTCCTTGGCCATTTTAAATATGTAATCATTTGAGATTGAAAAAATATTAAATAAGCATTTTTTTTTTGAGACAGTTTCACTCTTGTTGCTCAGGCTGGAGTGCAATCACGTGATCTCAGCTCACTATAACCTCTGCCTCCCAGGTTCAAGCAATTCTCCTGCCTCAGCCTCCCAAGTAGCTGAGATTACAGACACCTGCCACGATGCCCAGCTAATTTTTTTTACTTTTAGTGGAGATGGGGTTTTACCATGTTGGCCAGGCTGGTTTTGAACTCCTGACCTCAGGTGAGCCACCACGCCCAGCCTACTTTTTAAATATTGAATTATTCAAAAGAAATACCTTGTCAATATGTGCTTTCTAGGAAAACAGCAAAATAGGCCACAATTTGGAGCGACATCATTCAAATCATGGTCTATCCAGTTTTTTCTTTCCATGCTAAGTGCCTAAAACTGAAATACACTAACATACAATTGTCCTTTCTCCTTTATTTTCAGATGTGTAGCAAATGGTATTTAAAATGTTTTCGTTATCATTTTGTAGGTAAAGTAGATATAGCCAGTTCAAACTCTTTTGAAATTTAGACTTTTCATAGTAATATAAAAGCATATTGAAATTTGTAGATACTGTATCAGGAATGGTACCTAGATTTGAAAATTAAACTTGGCTTGTAGAGACAACTAGTTTCTCTCTCTCTCTCTCTTTAAGACAGAGTCTTGCTTTCTTGTCCAGGCTGGAGTGCAGTGGTGCTGCCTCGGCTTACTACAGCCTCCACCTCCTGGGCTCAAGGGATTCTCATGTCTCAGCCTTCCTACTAGCTGAGACTACAGGCGTGCACCACCATGCCCAGTTAATTTTTGTATTTTTGGTAGAGACAGGGTCTCACCATGTTGATCAGGCTGGTCTTGAACTCCCAGCCTCAAGTGATCTGCCTGCCTCCGCCTCCCAAATGCTGGGCTTAGGTGTGAGCCACCACACCTGGCTGAGACAACTAGTTTCTCTTGAACTCATTGGAATTCTCCAGGATTAGGAAAATTCCACAGAGCCTATATAATATTATAGCTCAACATTTAGTATACCAAAGGCATACCTGTGTAAATCTAAGAGTTATTTCCAGAGATTGTTTTAAGGAACAGTCCCATATTCAGGGCAGAAAGTTATGATTGGATCTGCTATTAAGGATAAAGGAGCTGCTAAAAGTTTGGGAGGTTTCCTAGTGGTAACTATTCTAGGAAATATTTATGTTCTAAGGCGGTGTTCATGTGGGTTCTCTAGAAGGATCATATTTCTATATGATGAATTAACTCGATAGCCTTTCTCCTCTTGTGCATACAGGAAATCTGACCTGCATTGTTTAAGTTGATGTGACGAGATAAAATACAGTATTTTAAAATCTAGAGCAGATTCCTTTCTTAGAAAACAATAGGAAAAAATTACAGATGGATATCTTTACTGGAATTTAAAAATTAGCTCATATTCCAGGAGAAAGAATGACCTAAGAGTCATTTTATGTTATCTAGCCTTTTGAAGCTACTCACTTGATACGCTTAGCACTTTGGAAATAACCTTTTTTTCTCGGTTCATGACAGTTTAATTCCAAACTTTTACTATTTTCTTTTGTAACTTTTAGATAGCGCAGTTCCTTTTGATACTAATTTTTGCCTACATATATATTTTTAAGTTGAGACCAAATAGGTGAAATGTTGAGCAAGTAACATTTATTATGTGTGTATTGGAACAAATGTAAAAGGGTTACAAAGATTAGAAACAGGGTCATAAAAAATGGCTTGATTTATAAATGCATTACTTCTGGTGCTTTATATAATGGGATATATCGAACTAAAAATTTGTACATACAGTATGTCAGCATTTCTTAGTAACTTCTCCTGAATCCATTTTTAATATCTAATACTGTACCGATTGGGGAGTTATATTCTTCAGGCCAATACTATCCAGACTATATAAATTTATAAAACCGAAAAATTCACTTCCTTGTATTCAAGACCAAAGCTCATAAATGCTAATGTAGGGCTCAAAGGGGAAGTATAGTTCTCCTGCATATTTGAGAAAATGTGAAGTCCTTTCAAGAAAATCTAATAAACATAATAATCATAGCCTGCTGACACTAAGGAAAAAGGACCTCATTCACTCTTTCTTTATGCAGCAATTTACTGGTCCCTACTGATTTCCAAATTGGATCACTGTAGTAAATTATCCATGCTGGTACCTGTGAAAGTAAGCCGTGGGATCCATATTTGTTTTGTGTTCTGCTTAAATCAGCAAGAATGATAAATTTGATGGTGTGAAATTGGAAGTATCAAGGGCTTTCTTTGGTGAATGAGCGAAGTAACGTCTCTACTTGTAATTTATTGTGACCCTTTTTCACTGTATGTGCTTTGTATGTCTAATATTTATTTCAATGCAAATTAAATTGTTTCTTCATCTATATTGTTATATCTAAGATTTTATTGATGTAAAAATCTAATTGTGGAATAAAAATCTCTCTGGATTTAAGCAGGTTTAAAAATGTTATCTTGCAAAAGAACAAAACATTTGTAGTTAGAAATCAGCTTTCCTTTGAGCTTAATTGCCTTATTGTTAGAATAAGGTGAATTTGAACACAGATTTCTTGTCCTCAGCTCATGACAAATAATAGAGGTGCCGTGATTTTGAGGTCTGATGTGAAACTGGTAAAACTGTGATCTAAGGTATAGGAAAAATAAGGAAAGAAAAATTACATTGATGTCTCAGTTGTTTGCTTGATTCTGTACTTTTTTGTCTAATAAAATTTATAGTCTAGAGATGAGTTATTTATACTCCTATAATGATTCACAGTATACAGCATATCCAAAGTCATCAGTCAATGCAGAATAACAGAGAAATATGTTTCCTTTCTAGGTGTTTAGAGTTGGCATGCATTTTCTGTGGCAGTTTAACAGCTGGCACTAAGCAATGCACTGTACAAGCAAGTTAAATCCTTGTCCATTTGGAGATTGTAATCTAAGAGGCATTATGGAAATCAGTTATATAAAGGCAATTCTGACAGGTGAATAAATATTAATTAGTAAATGTGTTGTCTACGTAGGGGGAAAAGTAATGCAATAAATAAAAAGAGTGGTCTAGGAAATGGATTTCCTAAAGATTTAATGGTGTGGGGTCTTAGGGATATATGCATTATTGACTCATAATGCTCTCTTTTTAAGCATTTTAAGCATATGGAAATATTTGAAACTGTTTATAAAATAATTCTGAGCTTTGGGACGGGAAAAATATTCCTTCCTCAAGACTAATTGAATGGAGAAACTCCAAGAAAGTGGTACATCGAGATCCTTGAGAATTATCTGTCTAAGCAGGTGATGTGTCAACAAAGGTCTTTTAAAAAGTTTATGTTATTGCAAATTTTGAACATGCACAAAAATAGAATAGTGTAATGAACTTCCATATTCTTATCTCCCAGCCTTCACAGTCCTTGACTACGGCCAAATGTGCCCTACCCCCACTCCTGTTCACTTTCCCTTCTCCTGGTTTACATAGTTTCATGTTATTTTAAATCACTTAGCAAATTTTTAATTATGCATCTCTAAAATATTAGGATGCTTTTTAAGATCAATATAAGGTTAACAATAATTAACATAGGTCTTTTAGGCTGATGACTAGAAATGATTAAGAGTAATACCCTGATAGGAAAAAGGCTTACATGATTTAATAGCAATATATTATGAAGGGAGGGGGAAATTCTGATATTTTTTAGTAAAGGGAAGACTTCCCCTATATTGTTGCCCTCAGGAAAATGCAAAGATAAACATCTCCTCTTTCTTTGGGAAGTTATAGAAATAGATTTTGCCTTTCTACTCTTTACTCTCTCCCTCCCAATGCAGATAGTGTATCCAACTGTTTTTCCCTAAAAGCCTGAGAACGTGGGATTTTGAATGGCAGTGTCAACAGAAACAGAATAGGAAGCAGTTAGGTTCTGCAAAAGAAGGGAGTCCTCTTAACCAAAGAACAGGGAGGGCGTAAGTTGGGGAAGATAAATTTAATATTAGTATCATTGTCTTCATTAAGTTGCCCTTAAAACAAATACTAATAAATATCAAGTAATTAGATTGTGAATTTAATCTCAGGTTTACTTTAAACTTTTATGTACTTTAAAGATTCAGTTTGTAGCATTTTTTTTTTTATCCTACAAATTTGGAGCTTTACAACCATTATTGCCTAGTGTTCCAACAATAATAAACCATTCAATTTAAGTAACAAACCAAGACACCAAAGACACAGAAATAAAACTTGCAGTGATCCAGAATAAAATAGCTACTTTTCTTGTCATTAATTTATAGAAGATACAGGCATATACTTAGGTTTCTCTAAAATAATGGGTCTTGATACTATGAATTCATAATACTGTGTTTGGCAGTTCAACTTAGTAATATCCAAGGGATGTAATTCATCTTTTAGAGTGTTTAGAAATGACCTTTTTAAAAAACAACAAAAAAAAAACCCCACTTTATCTAGTTAGCTAAACTTCCTTTTTGGGCTCTTTTGCTATTGGGCTTATTTCGAATTAATTTTTTTTTTTTTTTTTTTTTTTTTGAGATGGAGTTTTGCTGTTGTTACCCAGGTTGGAGTGCAATGGTGCAATCTCGGCTCACCTCAACCCCCGCCTCCTGGGTTCAGGCAATTCTCCTGCCTCAGCCTCCCTAGTAGCTGGGACTACAGGCATGCACCACCATGCCCAGCTAATTTTTGTATTGTTTAGTAGAGATGGGTTTCATCTTGTTGACCAGGATGGTCTTAATCTCTTGACCTCGTGATCCACCTGCCTTGACCTCCCAAAGTGCTGGGATTATAGGCGTGAGCCACCACACCTGGCCTTGAGTTAATTTTTTTTTAATTAACTTTGTTTCTCTGTCCTGAGGACAGTCCTTAATTTAAAAAAATAAGCAAAAGAAACATTTCTTAGAAAAATATTGGAACCAGACTTTGTGCATGGTGGTGCATACCTGCAATTCCAACAACTTGAGAGGTGAGGTGGGAGAATTGCTTGAGCCCAGGGGTTTGAGTCCAGCCTGGAAAACATAGCAAGACCTCATTTCCTCTAAAAATGAAATGAAAAATATTGAAACCATTTCAAGGAAAATATTTTAATTTGTGCTCTTTTATGTTTTTAGTTATATTTTTAATTAAACAGATATATTGTTGGGAATAAAAAATATTTTTTTCTAAATAAATAAACATTTATTCTAATAACTTACCAGAGGGTTTTTTGTTGTTGTTTGCCTTTTAGTATTGTGGCAAAGTTATCTGTAAGGAAACTTATTACAACTCTATTTGAGTTTTGTGTTTATTATACTTTTTCTGAAATGGCTTTTTGGCAGCTATAATTTTATACCTATATTACAATAGTAATATGCTTTCAGTAGCATCAGTGTTTTTAAATCTTTGATATTAAAATTCTCAAATAACCTTGAAGCATGTTTATAAAATCATTCTTTGTTCATTTCCTACTTACTGGTAATTATCAGATTCGTAAATTTTGAAACATTGGAATCTTACCTTGGTTACAAGTAAACTGCCCTCTGGTGGCAAGTTTTCTGAAAAATAATTCTACTGGCTCTCATTTTGCCTGTAACTAAAAAAATTGGGGGGAAAAGCAAACAGATTTTGACAGTTCCTTTTATTTCCAGCTGGTTTTTACACTAACCTGTTTAAACAAGGTTCAAAAGGGCTTCTTTTTCATTATTTTAACCTTTGCATGCTATAAAAAAGTTTTAGACCATTATGATTTGTTAATACTAGTTTTCAAGGTGCCTAAGTGAGCTAATAATTTTTAATATTTATGCAAGTAAATATAATAGATTTTATTATATTTATGCAAGTAGAAGGACATTTTTGGGGTCTCAGTTTAAGACTGAGAAACTGAAATTCCACAGAGAATCAGAGAATTTCTTACTGACAGTTGTGAAGGAAAGCTTTAGAGTACAATCCTCATTCAGCTCTTGTTCACCGAATAAAATGTGCTTTTTTATTTTCCTTTTTTGTCTTTTTTTGAGACAGAGTCTGCTCTGTTGCCAGGCTGGTGTGCAATGGTGTGATCTTGGCTTACTGCAACCTCCATCTCCTGGATTCAAGCAATTCTCCTCCCTTAGCCTCCTGAGTAGCTGGGACTACAGGCACACGCCACCACACCTGGCTAATTTTTGTATTTTTAGTAGAGACAGGGTTTCACCATGTTGGCCAAGATGGTCTCAATCTTTTGACCTCATGATCCGCCTGCCTTGGCCTCCCAAAGTGCTGGGATTACAGGTGTCAGCCACCGTGCCTGGCCATTGAAGTTTATATGCTAATGACAGTGTCAGAAATGTGCCCATGGATGTTCTTTGGAATGCCATCATAATTTGGGCATTCACATGATTTGTTCTTTTTAAAAAATTTGTAGAATTTGTGGAATACATTTGCTGTTGGTACCATCTCAGAAGAATGGTTTCAGATACTCTTAGATGTCTTTAGAGTTTTGAGCAAAGATAGGAGATGATACTCTACTCTTGTAAATCAACATTTTTTGGCTATTAATGGGTCTCTTATAAATGGATCTTCTATCTCATGCCAAGGGGAAAAGCAGTATTGCATAATACGTGCACCAAATGGTCCATTTCTTTTGCCTGGAAACAATACATTTAGAGATATCAGTAGAATTTAACACTGGTTAATTATTTTCTTTCTAATACTTTTTATTTTATAGACTGTCTAACCCATCTATATTTTCACTTTTTAGTTTCACCATTAAATAGAGTATGCAAAAGCCTTTTTGAAAAGTAAAAAGTTTGGGTTATCATAATTTAGTAAACATGGTTACAGATCACAGTACAAAGTCATATAGACTCCTTTGAAGAATTTTTAAAAAATTGTTGCTATTGAATGTTGATCAGGCTCTTAAGAAAAAACAGATGGCCAAGACCCCAAGGGTTCAAACAGGTAATTACTACCAAGGAAAATAAACTGAGGATAATGTCACACACACCTGAATTGGTAATATTGGTAGTAGTGGGAAGACTGAACTGAGCTGGAAAGTACATGGTTTGCCTAAAAGCATTCAAATTTTAAAAACATGTGCTAATCACACACTGGATCCAATTAAGCAGCCCAAGTGTTAAAACATTATCAAGGAATTACAAATAATAGCATCAGGAGTGTTGGCAGCAAGTCCTCAAATAGTGGTTCCAATCTGTGGACATTCTCTTAGTTTCTCTGGGCCTTGATTTTTTTATTTTTTAGAATGTGGCTAGGAGAGGATTATTTGAGGTAGTATATTTGAAAGTATTTGTGTACTGTAAAGATTTATACAAGCAAACAGCTACGTTTTGCATTATGTGATGCGTCTCACTTTACCTTTGGAGATTCTGGGACTCTTGGAATTCAAAAGAACCTCCCCCAAGACTATACTTGATGAGTTGGTATTGGTTATAATCTTTGTGGCCATATTTTAAGTCACCTTTGTGAGGAAAAAAGCTTTTGGCTGG